CCCACACTGTTCTCAGTTCAGAATGTTTTCCACACCTCTCTCCAAACCCACTCCATTGCTTGGCAAACTTAAGACTTGGTTTCAGGATTTCCTTTTGGATGAAACCATTTCTGCTTTTCCTTTTGGCTTCAGGAAGCTGGCAGCATGGATCCTCATTTTCCCATTGAAATATGGCTTGATATCCTACACTGTAATTACCAACTCTCCTTCAACATCCAATGAGATTTTTGAGAGCAGAGATCACATCTTACTCCTTTTTGTATACCCACTACCAAGTGATAGTGAGAATGCAGTCTACTGAGTCATGAAATCTTAACACATCCTACAAAAGGTGCATGATATAGAATACAAACTTTGGAATGACTTGAGTTAGGCAGACCAGATTGGGACTAAAATCTAGACTCCTCACTTAGCAGTTGCTGGGTAATCTTGGCCAAACTGCATAAGCTCTCTGAACCTCAAAATGTTCATCTATGAGACAGAGATTATAATTTCTTTCTGGTGGGTTATAAGAAATAGATGAGGTGTCATATGTGACTACACCTACAGAACTAATAGCCATTTAGTAAATATATATATAGATATATTTTAAAATATATAATCACTATATTTTGTTGGACATATATGTAAGTCTAGAAAGATAAAATTAGTGTAAATATCTAGAAATAAAAGGAAATTATAAAACTTATTTTCAAAAATGAGACATATTTCACTTACAAATTACTGATAGAACCATATAAAGAATCTTTGAATTTCCATTAAAATAACCACAATCTTGTTAGTTTGATAGGAGAAAACTGAGGACTTCGATATGTTTATTTACTGAAGGCAATTTAATTTTTGGCAATGAAAGTAAAAGTAAAAGAAAAAAGAAAAAGGAGGAAAAAACCCAGAAATGAAGAAAAGAGAAAGATAATCTGATTCCTGACAAGTCTCTGCCAACATCTAGCTCCTTAATGACTCATTTTTTTTTCCCTTAGGGAGAGAAGTTAATTTTGGCCATAATTGTTCTGTCTCTTGAATCGTTCTGAACAAAAATGAACATTGAGGAAAGAGCCACACCATAGTTTGCGCCCAGAGCCCTAGGCTCACAGTATACCTTGAGGGTCCCTGGGAGGCCCTTCTATCACCAAGGTAGTAGTAGGGTTTTGTCAAGCTTTTAACCCCATACAAAGGCCCTTCCCAGCTGCTGCAGACTGGTTCCAAGTGGAGTCTTATTTTTTCTCTGGTGAACACACAAAGCAAAAGGCAACAAAATAAACACATCAACCCTGTCCTTCAGAAGTCTTGTAAACCACTCACATCTGTTCTCAACATCTCTGTAACTGGCAATTTGCCAAAAATAAAGTGCATTTGTTTTCTTAAATGTAACCTGTCAATCATAAAAGATGAATCTGGAACCATTAAACTGAGCTGCATTAGAACTGACACACTTTTATAGAATATCACCATTGCAAAACAGCATAAATGGAGCTTGGGACAAGTTTAACAGTCCTTTAAGTTTAGATCTCTGAAGCAGAAGTAAATAGGGTTATAAACAGTACATGAACTAGCAAGAGAGTGTAGAAGCTAAGATTCCCCAGTTTGACTCCTGGCTTTGCCACTTTCTAGCTACTTCCCCAGCTTCCTCATCTATCACATGAAGATAATTATAGTATCTTCCTCAAGTGTTGCTATAAAAATTAACTGAGATGATTCTGTATAATGCATAAGATTGTATCTAGCAGATAGTATGCTCTTAATAAGTAGTAGGCTATTATTATAGCTGTTATTATTGGCCATTCCAGATTTCTTTTTTTTTTTTTAAGACTTTATTTACTTATTTGACAGACAGAGATCACAAGTAGGCAGAGAGACAGGCAGAGAGAGAGGAAGGGAAGCAGACTCCCTGGTGAGCAGAGAGCCCAATGCAGGGCTTGATCCCAGGACCCTGAGATCATGACCTGAGCCGAAGACAGAGGCTTTAACCCACTGAGCCACCTGGGCACCTCTCGCCATTCCAGGTTTCTGCAAAAAGCATAGACTCATCTAAAATGAAACATCTGGGGTAATTCGTCCTTTTTTCTCAAACTATCACATTTCTGGGAACCATACAAGATTTAAGCAGTAAGTTGTCAACTAAGACAAAGCAATTCAGAGGATGAATTATTCCAGGCTTGCCTTGCCTGGAGTGGCCCTAAAATGTTCCCTCTGCCCAAAGGTTATTACAGTACATCCATCAGATTCTTACTGGATACTCTCCAAGGCCCAAGGACTGTCAAATCTCTAATCCACCTACTTGCAACTCAGAAGCTACTCAGCTTCATGTTCCAGGCAGCCACCACCAATCAATGAGATTGGTAAAGATAAAATACAGCTATTTGTTATCACCAGAACAAGACACTACAACCTTTAAAGAAGGGATGTAATCCCCTTTATAACGGTGGTACTGGGTGAGGAGTAAGGGAGATGATGACCTCCGCCCTTTAGACAAATGTCATTATACCAGAATTTCATTTCTCTACAGTATCAGAAGATAAACCGAGAGAAGAAAACATTATTTCAGTCAAAATTGGTTAAATACTAAAGTGGGGAAAGGCGTTTAGTGTATTAATTCTTCCAGTAAATTACTCTCTATACGTTAGAATAAACTCATTACATAGTAGACCCATGACCTAAAGCAGAGCTGCCCAGTGGGTATGCGAAGGATGATTATAGGTATGTAAGAGGTAATAGAACCTTCATCTCTTGGGACAGGTAAGGTAGAGGTACTCAGGACAGTATCATGCACATAATGTACATCAGTATGCTGTGCAAATAGTATTTCATATGTGTGCCATGACTGGGAAAAGTTTGAGAATCACTGGTTTAGTAAATGAATACATTTTATAAAGTATCCTCAATTGTAACTATGGCAAAGCTTAAGCACTGGGTGACTTATTATACTTCCATCATGGTTACAAATACGAAGATGTTCTAGAAAAATCCTACATACGTTCTTAATCTGAGAGCTCAGTCCCATAACCAAAATTCTGTTGTGATTAGCTTCCTTTGTTTGCAAGGGACAGAAATGCACATGCACTAAGGTATAGCACAGATAATGAGGGCTTTTCAGAAGTACTGTCAAGGGAGGCAAGAATCCCATGGGAATTAAAAGACTGAGCCTATTCAGAACAGGATGCAGAAGCTAGCAGTTTGAGAGACTCCAGCCATAAGAGATTCTAAATCTTTACCCCGATATTCTACTAATAACATGACTTGGTTATGTTCTTTCTTTCTCTTTGAGGGACTGTCCTGCATTTTCTTCTAGTTGGCTACCAGTGAGTTCTGGACCTTTTATAGTTTGCTTTTGCTTATTTCTAGGTTCTGGTTTCTCATAACTTCAACCTGTTCTTAATTTCTCCTGATCCCTGCTTCTACCTCATAGTCAATCTCAATTTCCTTCTTTCTCCCCCCTTCCTCTTCTGTCTGGATTTTTTCAGTGTCAACTCCTACTGTTAACTCCCTGTCTCTCTTCACACTTTTCCATCCACATGTTTGAGAATAAGGCTGTGGGTGATCTTTCCAGCGTCTTTTCATATAGAATCTCAGGTCTTTTTCCAGGCCACTAACTATGTTATGGTTTGACTAAGGTCTTGGTGCCCACTGACTGAGAGGGGCTGGAGTAACTGGTTTCAAGATATGTTCCTTCAACAGAGCTGTAGTGGGAGAGGCAATTTTCCTTTGAAGATCTCTAGGTAGGGAAGACAGAATATACACAGAACAAGTCACCTCAGGAGGGAACAAGGTTTTTATATTTTCTGTTGTCAAAGAGACCATTTATACACCCTATCTTAGAAAGAAACCCTTTTGATAATTTGCTTCTCTGTCCCTTCTCTCTTTTCTTTTTCCCATTCATGCATCCATGTATCCATCCATCCATCCATCCAACAAATATGAATCTGTCTTCAAAATAAGTGTATGAAATTGCCAATAACCGTAATGATCCTTGAGGAACATGAACCTACTATGGAAGATAAATTGTGTATGCATATCATTTTAAGTGTCCAAAGAATGCCAGAAATGAAATGTTACAAAGTTTGAAGGATGAAGATCACAATTCAGTGGGTATTTGAAAGATAGAGATCTGATATTCAAACATAAAGAACAGACTTAAAAAACAACATGAGCCTAACCCTTGAGTTAGCAGAGTTTTGCAACATCAAAACAGGTTCTGGCATTTTTAGTTCTAGAAGAAATACATAATAATTGTGAAAAATTCAAACCAAAGTAAAAAATATAGTGTAAAAATCTGTCTTTCATCCCTGCTCACTTATCATTTCCAAACTGGTAGGGGAACTTCTCTTCAAAAGTAACCACCATTAACTGTTTACTCTTTGTCCAGACTCTTTTTTGTACTACTAAATCAAAACATTATAATGATTTGATGAGAAAGAGACTAAGAAACCCATTTTACAAAGAAGTAGGTTAAGTACTTTCTTTGGGTTAAGAAATTCTTTAAGTGAATGTTCCATCGTACCTTGTTATTATGAGAGCTCTGGACCTTAGCTGATCTAGAAAAACTCAATTCTGTTTTTTAAGTAGCTCTTGTCTTTTGGGGGGTCATTTTAACTAAAACTGGAAGGAAGCCAGTGGTGAGCACTCATACATTAGCTGGATGAAAAGATTCCACTTACAACAGAAAGCCCTGTATACTTCTATGAGTACTTAGATCTTTACCACACTTTTTGACATACTATAAGGTTTATTTTTGTCTCCAACAGGAGGTGAATTTTACTTTAATAATGGGATGTTGATGAAATTGTTGAAGGTTTAAGAGAAATCAGATGTATTTCTCCTCTATGACATTACTTTTTAAATAAACTAAGTGTATTTTTTATCAGCTCATATCTAATAGAATGGCCAGATGAAATTACTTGAGCCTTTTCCTTTCATAGCCACATGAAAAAGTCAGATTTCTGAAGGAACTTATTATAGAGCAAATAAGGGGAATTCAAATTACAGGGATACAGAACACTTACCCCAGACTGCCATGAAAACAGCAAAGAAGACAGTGGCTCCGTTGTCAAAGAGGTGGGTTACCTAGGAACATTATGAATTACAGTTAAACTAGCTTCTCATATACTGTATTTCAATTCACTTTTTTTCAGATTTTGTAAAAATAAATGAATTTTGCAGGGTTTCTTTGGGAGATATTCCTTTTGGATCATAATCAAGAAGGGGGTTCATCCAACTATGAAGTAGTTTGGATATGCAAAAGAGAATTTGGTCCCTTTATGTGGGCATCACGTAGCTGAACATTTATCAGCAGCCCCAATAGTGCTAAGAATTTTCTTTTATGCACCATAAATACTGTTATAAGTGGACATATGGTTATACTTACTATATTTAAGACTAGGGAGGTATTATTGTTGCTGCTTTAAAGACTTCTGATTCCTATTTTTAATGGCTCATTTATTCACTTTGAAAACATGCCTATTTTGTTTGTGTATTTTTGGGCAAACATTTTCTAGGATGCCCTCTGGACTTTAATATTACAAAGAAAAGAGAGCGGACCATTAACAAAATCCACTTCCACCTTTATTAAAGCTTCAGGTAATCACTGTATTTACCTATTACACATTACACAAAGACAGCTATCAAAAACTTTATTGCTAGATAATACATTCTATCACAAACACCACAGCAGAAAGCAAAGATATTCACCCTGCAAAACTGCTATGCTCATTTCCGCCTTCAGGGTAAATCACACCAATGCCATACTAAATTGAAATGATGACTGATACATTCATAAAGCATAACCTTTTTTGGATGCTCTATAGCTCTCTATAAAACATACTTTACCGTCCCTTGGAGAATGTGCCAACTATAAACAGGTCTTTTCCTGTTATATCCGAGTGTGAAGTATTTCAAAAATTTTTCCAAAAGTTTATGCCTTCTTTTTATTTGAACATAGGAGAGATGAGCAGCATTCAAATACCAAATGTAGATAAAGGGCAAAAGCTAATTTATTTCATATGCCAGAGGGAGTGTTAAATTGTATTGTATATTGTATTAATGCACCGAGCATTAAATCAAGCCTGAGAGTTCCAGGGTATGTGTCTGGTCTGTGCTCTCTATCAGGGTATTTGCAGGGAGTTGGTGGAAGTTGTGGCCTGTACCATTGGTGGAGATGATGGAATGAGTTGTGGTGGTCATTGTTTTTGGCTGTTCACCTTACCTTTCTTCCTTATCCTGGTAATAGATGTCTCTCATGTAGGTCACTGGGGGGCAAGTGGCTCAAACAGAATCAATTAGAGTCCTTCCCTGGGACTGACAGATAAACATTTGGACAGAGACATTTTTCTGCTGCAGTTACTTGGGAATATGTGAATCAGGAGGGGTGAGTTAGTAAGGACTTCTGGTTCCTATAAAATGGTAAGTTAAAATAGATTGAGGGCTCCCTTTGCCAAAATAAACCCTAGAGAAACAATATAGTAGATTCTGGGAACTAGCAAAACACAAACATAAGACTGTGAGAAACCCCAGGGGAGATGGAAAGTTGCCTTGAATGTGTGTGTGTGTGTGTGTGTGTGATGGAGGTGGTGGTAAACAGGGAGAGTTAGTGGCAGTTTCCAAGCAGACTGGAAGCTTAGCTTGGAGCAATACACAAGTCCTACTCCAGCCTCTCCCTCAATGGTCATTGGAAAATTAGTGTCTCCCACCAAATCAGCTACAACAGGTCAAACCACAGGGGCTGGTTCTTGGGGTAATATCATGGGTATTCAGAGTTCTGCCTTATTGAGGAGATGAGAAGGTGCAGCCTGGCCATAAGCTGTCCTCAGATATTCTCTCCTCAGTCCAAGTCCTCTTAAACACCAGGGCTGGTAGATTACAGTCAAGGGAGAGTGGCTTCACCCAATTCTGTTTTATTCCTGGCTGAGTTAAAAATGAAACACTGATCAAACAAGTCCTCTAGAAAAGTGCAGCACACGGTGGTGCCTGCGCACACTGTCTTCTCCTTTCTTTAAACTTTCCAGGTCTGAGTGCTGAGTGCCTGGCCCCTGACCGTTACCCAAAGTGGTTGACACCTCCAGGGGACAAACATGCACAGGTCAAAATAATGAAGTATGGGGTGAAGACAGCTGACTCCAAAGAATTCCAAACTAGGCAATGCACATGTTCTGAAACAGACATTCTGTAACCAGTGTTACAGCAATGTAACCAGCAGACCGAGCATTTTTAAAAAGCATAAAAACATGCTTAAAGAGATGAAGAAGATATAAGACTCATATTGTGGCAGTCAGCAGCCAGCTTCCCGATCATGTGAGGAGAACTTCTCTGCAGAAGGATCATGTGGACAGGGGGCCAGAAAGAGACATCTGAGGCCTGGAGGACCAGGTTAGGCCTGGAGGCACTTGTTCTCAGACAGCGTGAGCTATTCCAGTGTATTTTCCAGTGAAATGAGCCCATAAGTCCCTTTCCGCTTATGCCAATTTGAGGTGGGTTTCTGACCTTGCAAATGTAAAAGGTGGTGATAAAGCATTCCTGACCAGCAGAACAGCCGTTGGTTAGATTGGACCTGGGCTCTGACTGGATCTAATATCCCTATGTATCCTCAACCCCATGAAATTTGTTTAGCATTTCTAATAAGAGCTTCTAAAGGAAACTCTATAGAACTTCAATTCTTTCATCTGAGACATTTTTTTAGCTTTTATTTTAGTAAGTTTTTTAAGGCACTACCAACTCTAAAATCCAGAATATAAACATATTGTAGCCTCAGTATGGCACAATGATTATGTTTTGTAGTCAGATAAACCAAGGCCTAGCCAATTATTTCTGTGTGACCATGGATGAGTAATTTTACCTCTGAGTAAAATGAGAGTAATAACACCTATCTTGAAGTAATAACATCTACCTTGAAATGAGAATAATAACATCTATCTTGCTGTAAGGATTAGAAATAAAATGTAGGTTGCCTAGCTACTTTTATATCTATAGCCTAGCTATTATTATAATCATGATTATTGTAGATCTTACGTTCGGTAAGATAACTGCTTAACTACCTCCTATAAAATTGAGCACTCTGAACTATCCATGATGATCCTTTTAGGGAATTATTGTGGATCTCTTAAAAAGAGAACTTCATTCAAGGCATATCTTTCCACGTAAAAAACAAATATCCCCAGACATCAGTAACAACAAAAGACTGGGTTTCTGAGATTCCAGAAAGCAGAATTCTTGCACCTGAGTCATTCGAGCTCAATGATGATCTCATGCTCTTTAAACAAGATTATATTACTGAGAAAATTCTTTTGATTCTCACCAAATCTGTATTTCCCAAGCTCGTTCTATTAAATTTTCCTCACTCATTCGGGTCTATCTGTACGTTCTCCAAAGGTGGGGAGAGTATTTCGTGTGTTTTTGGTCTCCCGCAGCATGTATGCACATCTTTCTAAGATCACAGCTGCCTGCTGTGGTTTGGGCTCTACACACGTAGACTGGCCCCTGCAATGCTATAGATGTCATGGATGGGTGGGCTCCTGGGCTGTCTCTCAAATGTTCTCTCATTTAAAATGAGCAAAACTCTGCCATACCAACAGTATAATTAAATAGATCCAAGCTGCAGGGATTGCCAACATTCAGTAAAGTCTGCCAACCCTTCTTGTATCTGAAATCAGGGCAAGTTGACAGGTAGTGGTCTTGGAAAATTCCTCAACAGCCTGTACTCCAGCTATTGCTTTGTATTAGTGACCTGGCCCATAAGTAAAAAAATAAGGAATTCTATGAATGTGTCTAAAATTTTAATAAAGTAAGGCATAACATGAAGTAACATAATAGACATAATGATGCTATGTATTTTATTTTCAAATTATTTTTTCCACATATGTATTATATTAGTATCTTTTTTGGTCTTCATGACAAGCCATGGGACAGAGAAGACAGGTGTCACTGCCCGCATTTTAGAGATGAGAAAGCTCAGCCTCAAAGAAACTGTCCATGTGCACGGTCAGGGAGGCATGTAGTTGAACTAGTCCTGAATCTAAATTTTTTTTTGACAATAACAATAATGAAAGAGGAAGATGATGGTGGCTCTCATTTGCTAAGATCTTACCATCTGCTGAGTACTTTGCTCAGTATACACTTTATAACAATCGAGTGAAATAAGCATCATGTTCTCCACTTTGCAGATAAGAAAACGATGGCTCAGAGAGATCAATAACTTATTCTGGGACTGACAAATGGTAAAGAGCAACGTCAAGATCTGAGTCTTTCTCTGACTCCAACAACTGTACTTTTTCAGTATGCACACTGCAGCCTCCTCTGACGAAGATCAGAGCTAATACATTTAAAATACATATACAGTAAAAAACATATTTGAATTAGAATGCCAAGTGATAGAGGTAATGTTAACTCTCTCCTCAACATAAACTCAAGACTCAAAGACTAGAAATGACAAAGAGAATATAGTTACCCTCTGTTCCTTGGGAAAATGTATAAAAAATTCAATGTACCTAAAGTGCCACAGATTTGAAATTACCTTGGCATAAACACAGCTGTCTGACAGCCTCATGAATGGACAGTATTTATCGCACACAGGACACATGATGATATCTGTAGCTTGGCAGACTTCTTTACTGGAAAAGAGAACAGAAAAGGACTGCTTTTTAATGACATAAGAGCATGTTTTCCCTTCCAATTTCACCAGAGTCCTTAACCACTAAATAAGACCCAGTAGATTATTGTCCTTACAATCTTCCTAGCCTTATCTGTTATTAAAGTAAATGAGCGCTTGCACATTTTAATAATTTGATAAGCCTATTTATTTATGAGGTTGTTTCTTGGTTTTACTTTTTAAAAAGTTACACTCTGAAAAATACATGAAGCATAACACTGGATGTTATACCCTAAATGAAACAAAAGTCATTCACAACACTGTAGAAATTTGAAGCAATTTCATTCTGAATTATAGGAACAACCAGGTACCTAAAAGTGCCTGCCTCAATCTCCATGTGCATAAGTGAAAACTAATAATGGAGAGATAAATAAAAATGTGATGCATTAGTTCTATGGGAAAACTACATCCCCATTAACAATTCCACCAGAGAGTAAAATATTTTTACAAGTGGGAAAATCAATCAATCACTTTTACTTTTGCAATCACTTTTAAAAGCCACTTTTATTATTTAAGATCATTGTCCATCCTGGCAATAAAATCTCTATGAATACCTTAAACTATATTCTGGTGAGAAAGCTGAAGTAATCCTCAACACTGAATCATTCTCAAGACCTCAACAAGTTGGTAAGATGTCTTTCTGGCTCAGGTTTAAAGGGTCCTTGTAAAAATACAGAATTCATAAAAAAGGATTATTAGCCCACTATTTCGCAGGATTAGCAAAAAGAGAAAAGGTAAAAAGTCAGAAAGAGAGCAACTTTAAGCCAGTGAATGAAAGCATTTTTTTTTTTTTTTTGTGGACACAGAGTGGCTTATATGTCTATAAATGTAAATTTTGCTTCCCTGGCAGCATGGGCAATAAATGGAAGATCTAATAAATTGAGCCTTCTGAATTTTTCCCAGGAGTGACTGAGAATGAAGTTAGATGGAAAAGAAGTTCTACAATCTGGGAACATCCCGAAAGTACCACCACCCACATCTATATAGAAGCAAAGGCAGTTTTCCCCAAAGCTCCCCGTACCTGACTTGGCAGTGATCCAGAGTAATGACTCCATACAAGAAAACAAACAATCCAATGAAGGCCGCTGGGAAGAGCATGCCAGTGTACCAGCCCAACCAGGCAAAATACAACCCAATCTTCTCTCCAAAGTACCGCCTGTTTAAGACACAGGAGCCTCACAAATCAAAGTGAAGTGTGTAGAGTTAGGCATTATAATACTTTGCTCAGTCACGTTACTTTGTAGTGGCCTTGCTGATAACACAAGGCATCCAAGAGAATAGAGCACTTGACCAAACTAAGGCTCAGGCTTTAATTTCTTCTCCTATCATTATATATCAGAAATAGAATGAACCCTTCCATAAAAGAACATGATTCTATACAAGCTTGTTCTGAGACCACAGAATAACCCTGTGCCCATTTGGGAAGATACAACACTTATGACTACAGAACCAGGAGAATCTGAAGTGGTGGTGACAACACATCATCTCATCTTTGCCGTTTCTGAGTGTGTGCTTGTTTGTAACACATGTATTATCATTACATATATCTTTAAAAATAGGAAACAAAGTTATTATGAAAAACTGCAAACACCTCTTTCAATATTTTGTAGCTTTTTAAGATGTTTACAATGCTTGAATCACAAGATAGTAGAAAGAAAAGAACTCTACAGAGATTCAAAATGATTGATACTGAGAACAACTTTACTAAGTGATGATTTTTCACAAGTTTCAACATCTACCTCAGTAAATATTTTTCTGAGACTAACCAGTCTGCCTAGTGCCTTGAAGTGTACAAAGTTAAGGAATGTTCAGGGAATTCCTTGCTTTTTCTTTCTCAAACACATTAATAATATAATTGACTTATGTTAGAATACAACCCAAATTGTGCTTTCTATGCCTCTCAATTGCTATATTTTTATTAGTTAGAAGTTAATTACTTTTTAGTCTAATATAAGAATATTCTAATATTTTTTCATTCTAATTCTAAATAAATGTTACTGACCACCTGTTTCCAAATCCTGGCTTCTGCTTTCCTCTTAGAATGTCCAATAATTCCCAAAAGCTCTGAAAGGTAAACTAAAGATTATTTATCCTATCTTCCACTGTGACCCAAAAGAAACTTGCCACTCTCTGAAGACTTTTCCAATGTACATTCAAATAAACAGATATATTATTTTATTCATCCAACAAATATAAAAATAAGTTTCATGTGACAAATATTGTGCTAGGGACTGAGGATACAAAATCAGCTTGGTCTCTGCTCTTGTGCAGCTCACAGGATGACAGAGTAGACAGACATCAATCAATTAAAGAAATAAATTTATAATTAGAACACTAGGAAAAGGGCTATAAAAGGAGAGGAACACAATTCCCCAAGTATATCAACCAACCATGTGACCACCCTACTTGGGGAAGACTTCTATGAGGAGGTGACTATTAACTAGGTAGACAGGGGACAGGATCAAGTGTTTCCAGCAGAGGAACCACAAGTATAAAAGACCCTGTGGCAGAAGGGACCAGGTGAAATAAGGGCAGTGTGCCCAGAGCACCGATAACAAGAGATGGGCTGATGAGGCAGGCGGAGGCTCGGCCTTGGTGAATCTTATAAACCGTGCTAAATGCATTGATCCTTGTCTTGAGAGAATGGAAAAATCATAAGAGAGTTTTAACATTCAAAGGACATAATCAGATTTAATTTAAAAAATTATTCTATTTTTTTATTATGTTCTGTTAGTCACCATACAGTACACAAGTTTTTAATGTAGTGATCCTGATTCATTGTTTGCATATAACACTCCGTGCTCCATGCAATACACACCCTCCTTAACACCCGTCACTGGGCTAACCCATCCACCCACTTCCTCCCCTCTAAAACCCAATTTGTTTCTCAGGGTCCATAGTCTCTCATGGTTTGTCTCCACCTCTGATATCCCCTCCTTTATTTTCCCCTTCCTTCTCCAAATGTCTTCCATGCTATTCCTTATGTTCCACAAATAAGTGAAACCATATGAGAATTGACTTTCTCTGCTTGACTTATTTCACTTAGCATAATCTCCTACAGTCCATCCATGTTGTTGCAAAAGCTGGGTATTCATCCTTTCTGATGGCTGTGTAATATTCCATTGTATATATGGACCACATATTCTTTATCCATTCATCTGTTGAAGGGTATCTCAGCTCTTTCCACAGGTTGACTATTGTGGACATTACTGCTATGAACATTGGGGTGCATATGGCCCTTCTTTTCACTACATCTGTATCTTTGGGGTAAATTCCCAGTAATGCAATTGGTGGATCACAGAGTAGTTCTATTTTTAATTTTCTGAGGAAACTCCACACTGTTTTCCAAAGTGGCTGTACCAACTTGCCCTCCCACCAACAGTGTATGAGTATTCCCCTTTCTCTGCAGCCTCTCCAACATTTATGTTTCTTGCCTTGTCAATTTTATCATTCTAACTTGTGTAAGGTGGTATCTCAATATGGTTTTGATTTGAATTTCTCTGAAGCTAAAAAGATCACTCTATTTGGAAGGTAGAGAATGGATTGGAAGGGACCAGAGTAGAAAAAGGGAGACCAATTATGGGACAACAGCCATCATCCAGGTTATTAGGTGAAGGAGGCTGTATGGTCGAGGAGGTTCTGGGGTGTGGCCAGAATTAAGAGACATGGAGGAAGACAGGAAACAACATGTGTTGGAGGGGATGTGGAGAAAGGGGAACCCTCTTACACTGTTGGTGGGAATGCAAGTTGGTGCAGCCACTTTGGAGAACAGTGTGGAGATTCCTCAAGAAATTAAAAATAGAGCTTCCCTATAACCCTGCAATTGTACCCCAATGTTTACAGCAGCAATGGCCACGGTTGCCAAACTGTGGAAAGAACCAAGATGCCCTTCAACGGACGAATGGATAAGGAAGATGTGGTCCATATATACTATGGAGTATTATGCCTCCATCAGAAAGGACGAATACCCAACTTTTGTAGCAACATGGACGGGGCTGGAAGAGATTATGCTGAGTGAAATAAGTCAAGCAGAGAGAGTAAAGTATCATATGGTTTCACTTATTTGTGGAACATAACAAATAGCATGGAGGACATGGGGAGTTAGGAGAAGGGAGTTGGGGGAAATTGGAAGGGGAGGTGAGCAATGAGAGACTATGGACTCTGAAAAACAATCTGAAGGCTTTGAAGAGGTGGGGGGGTGGGAGGTTGGGGGAACCAGGTGGTGGGTATTAGAGAGGGCACAGATTGCATGGAGCACTGGGTATGGTACAAAAACAATGAATACTGTTATGTTGAAAATAAATTTTAAAAAAATGATAAAAAAAAAAAAAGAGACATGGAGGGAGCAAAATCTGTAGGACAAGAGCTATTTAAGAGTTGATATTTCCTAGATACTCCACAACATTGTTCTATTGGAAAATTGCTTATGTTTTTCATCTCCTTTCCTTTGGCCTATACAAATCTTAGTCTCTTCCAGGCTCAGCTCTACAGAACCTTCCACAGAAGCGCCAACCCATATCTATCCTTTCCATTTTTCCAAATTTTTATAAAACTAATCATCTTCATCACACATTTTACCTAATTGTGCATAGCCTTGTATTGTTTTCTAGTTGTTTCAAGTATGCAGAGCCTGTTTTACTGAAGGAAACGGAGTTTCTCAGATATGGTAGCTTCCATTTGTCTTTGCCAGTATTATTTAGCATCATGCTAGAAACACAATGGGTAGTTAATTAATGCTCATTAATTAATATTCATAAAGTCTTAATCAAAACACTGTCAAGGAGGGTGGATATTTTGCCTGCAGTAATTTTCTATAATTTTTGATCAGTATAATTCTGTAATGTTGGGACTGAGACTGGGAAGTGCACTTACTTTTACTTTTTTTTTTCCTCCACTGTTTTAGCATGCATTGAGACTGGTCCAAAGAAAAAAATCTCATCTCAGGAAATATTTTCCACTCACCCAGATTATCTGGATTATTTGTTACTAACACAAAGGATAGTATACAATTCATCAATCACCCTGGGTCAGTAGGAATAAATACTTAGTAACTAGGACTCTGGCAGGAAGAATGACTACCCAGGGAGATAAAATATAAAATGAGTTGTTGTATTATTTCATTTTCCTCTGGGCTCATTTTTTTAAGGGCACTAGAGAAAGTAAGCCGAATCCATCTAGTCTAGGAAATGAGACATGGTTTTCTTTTTTATAAGGAATCCATGAAGTATGGATTGTTGCCACCCAATCTTAATAACCAGTCTCTAAATAAGCAATGAGATGTCGGAGTATAATGTTGCCATGGCAGAAATTTGGACATAAATAGTTAAAAAAACATACATTTCCACTGTACAATTATCATCGGCTAAAAGCTGATATACTAATATGACTTGTAGAAGTCAAATAATCTTTAAAGGTTATTAGTTGAAAATTATAATAAGTCTGAAATTTATTAGAGTGATAGAACTCCATTTTTCCTACTTACATAGATAGTGACTAATATCCCATTTTTCACTAATATATTTAAGCACATCACATTTCTGCAATTGTTATAGATAATTTGTCAATAACAGTCACATGGATGGCTTGCTCCATATAAAATCCTGTGGGAGGCCCAACTGATCTCACAGGCCCTCTCCTGAGACCTTTCTGGAGGAAGCACTATCCTCATCAGAGTGAGGTCTAGTTTACCGAGAATGACCAATGTCCTCTTATGAGTTCCCTTCTTGAGATGAAGCTAGATTTGAGTAAAAGCTCTGTAACTCAGAATTTTTCCTTGTCCCAGCTGACAGCCTGTCCTAACCATTCTGTGCAAGTTTTATATTTGCAATTGGTTAAGAACTCACCTTACAAGATCCAAAGGCTGGTATTTATACCACACACCCCAGGAGGCCCAGCACTCATAGAGCAGATGTCGATGGTTTTCCGCTCCATGGGTTCTAATGGAGTTTTTACTTCTGTAACTTCCCTGGGGTAAAAACACCACTTCCATGAGGTAATATCCAAAAAAGCCATAAGGAAAAAGCGACAGTAACACTAGTCTTTTATGGAAGGAGTAGTGGTAGGGGTGATATAAGAAAGAAATGGATCCATACTATTAAAGGGAAAACAGTTATTGTGGACATAATCTTGTTGATGGTGGTATGTAGTAAAAAGTACATGCTTGCTAGGAATCAGGCAGGTTTGAGCTGAGTTCAAATTTAGTTCCACTACTTTTGGCTAGGAGACCTTAAGCTCTCTGAGCCTTAGATTTCTAGTTCATTATGGAACTAATAATTTCTGCCTCATTAGGTTTCTTTCATGGTTTGAGTGAATAAAGTGTCTTGCCTAGAGGCCATGCCCAAAACTTAGCTCTCTTTTCCATTTGTCTCAAGACAGGGCAGTTGGTAAACAGTCACAGTGGTATTTCTGCATTATCCATACAAAACCCCTAAAATATAAAAGATGGATGTAACCTTAAAATTACAACAGTTCAAATCTAATTCAGCCACCTCATGGGACAAATGAGGAGACCAAGGGCCAGACAGGTACAGGTTTTTCTGAGTTCAGTTAGTGGTGATGTTAGCTTCATAAACAGAAAAAGTACTTTCTGGAAGTGGACTACTTAATAACACTACCTTGAGAAGGTCTTTCTTAGTGGAAGGTGAATGAGGCTGAGAGACAAGAAACTCAGGTTCTAGCCTCAGCTCAACCAACAACTCACACAATAACTAGGAGGGCAACTCTTCTCTAAACCTCTATTTAAATGTTTAACATGAAACAAGGGCAACAATATCTGCCCTTCTTGCTTTTCTGCTTTTGAAGGTCATTAGGATGTTAAATAATATAATTATGTTAAACTGAGAGTAAAGATTCAGAAGTGATTATGTTACTGTTGCTGGTATTACTAATTTGGAAGGTCTCTTCTCATAGAATACAGGGCTTCACTGAGATGTGCAAGCCCAAGAGAAGAGGCCTTAAATTACTCTATGTGGTTACAGAGCTGCATCTTCTCAGACATCCTCATACCTGCCACCTACTCACCTGCACAGATATTTCTGCTCACCTACCATTGCTCAGACCCTGCCCTCACTACGGGCAAGGGCCCAGCTGTGGGGGGATGCAGTTGTCACTGAAACCTTTTTTGGCCAATCCAATGAATAACTACAGAAAGCCACATGATGTTTGTGTGTGTGTATGTGGGGGTGAGAATCTGTCTTGAAAGTTCAGAATCACCTGTGTGTGTCTTTAGAAAACCTTTGGGTCAAAAGATTTGCTTTTGTCATATGAAAATGAAAATTTTCATATGACAAATTTCATATAACAAAAAAGCAAATGAAAATTTGCTTTTGTCATTCCAAAAATGTTTCATGGAAGTCTATAAATAGGGTGTGAGGCCAAAGCTTCTAGAGTTTTCTTAATGAACAAGATTTGTAAAATTCCCCATTGTCTTTGCATCCTTGTGGTGTGTAAAACAACAAAAACAGCACTGTAAGCCAAACAAAAGGTATGTTTTGGAAAGACTTGCCATTTGCAAATTGTTGGAACTGTTCTGCAAAGTTTACTGGCAAACTGTTAACATTGTTTCCAGTAGAAGACTTCTGGAAATAATTCCCAGGAGGTCCAGCCTCACTAGTTTGTGAGGTCCTACAGGGGATTGGCAAGGATAATTATCTCTGTGCTCTCTTTGTCACACAATGACTGGTATAAAGTAGGGGTTCAACACCATGAAGATGACAATAAACTCTCACCAATGGCAAGGATTATGTCCCTAAAAACCTATGTGTACAAGAGAATTCTGGGTTAAATAACCCAAGATTAAATGGGAAAAGTAAGGTTAAGGATAACCAGACTTATATTTCTAAAGTCCTTATATATGACAAAACCCATGTAGCAAATAAAGAGAATATCAAAATTTATATATCTTAAATGAGAAAAAATAGGTATAATATTATTCATTTCCATTCACCACCATTTGATTGCCAGAGGCTTTTCAAGATGACTCCCTCCTACTCTCTAAGGAATAGCTATAAACTTCTAAGTTACAGAAACTATATATTTCAGGAACATTTTCCCCACAGGTCTGGTGCCTCATGCAAATTTTCAATGCTTCTTTATTTTATGACTTGGAGTCCCTCATTGATTCCTCTGAATTCATGCTGAGTGACTCTTGATTCAAGTATTCTTACAATTACATAAAAAAGATATATAGAAATAAATTTATGTTGGGGGAGAAACATCACAATTCAAGTAGGCCCTCCCTAATTATCCATTGAAAAAATTAAATTCATTCTGAACAAATGTCATATCAACAAACTCAATTAATGACTATTCCCAGAAGCTGATTTAATAACAAGAAATTAACAGAGGAAAGGCAGGACAATACCTCATGCAGAGGAAATGCAGCTTCATAGGAGCCATTGGTAAGCAAACGATTCAGACCTAGAATAACAAAAAAGTTCACTTTGAATTAATACTGAGTTTGAGTTCTCACAACATTCAACACTAATATAAGGGTGATACTTTTGGAGAAAACAATCTAAGCTTTCAAATGTGATTCAAACCCAGCTGGGGACTCCAATAGTTTAGAAAGTTTTTCTATCTGCTAGGAAATCGGAATCAAGGGCTGGGAAACTGGATTTTCAAATAGAAACAAAACAGTGAAGCATACTCAGTACAGTGTCTGGCACAAAGATGGGAATATATTGAGAAAGTGGATGAATTTATCATACCCCCCCCAAAAAAGGTTTTCTACCAGTTCTTTTTATATTTTTATTCAGAAGTTTAATGTGGATAAATCTAGCCCTTCCACAGTGGACTAGTGGTGTGATTTTGAAAAAAGTCTTCTTGTCCTCAGGCCTCAATTTTCTCATGCATAAAAGGGGGGAGGGGTGCTGGGTATATGACTTTTTTTTTTTTTTTTAGAGAGAGAGAGCCATGCGCACAAGGGAAGGGAGGGGCAGAGGGAGACAGAGAGAGAGAGACTCTCAAGCACGCTGCAAGTTGGACATGGAGCCTGATGCAGGGATCGACCTCACGACTTTGACTGAGATCATGACCTGAGCTGAAATCCAGAGTTGGACACTTAACTGACTAAGCTACCAAGGTGCCCTGGTTATGTGGATTATTTTTTTAAAAATAGCTTTATTGAGGCATAACTGACATACCATAAATGGCACAGATTTAAAACATACAATTTGAGATTTGCCTTATATATGCATACCTGAAACCATCAGCATAGTCAAGATAGTAAGCATATCCATACCCCAAAGTTTTATCCTGCCACTTCATAACTACACTCCTCCCTATGCCATCTCCAAGGTAAACACTGATCTTTTTTCTGTCATTATCAGTTTGCATTTTCTAGAGTTTTATATAAATGGAATTATACATTACTCCTTTTTATCCAAATTCTTTCACTTAAGATAATTATTTTGAGATTCATCCATGTAGTAACTCTTTTTTTTTTTTTTTACTGCTGAGTATACCATCATATGGATCTATAACTGTTTATCTATTCCCCTTGATATTTGTTTCCAGTCCTGAACCATTACAAATAATGTTACTGTGAGCATTTATGTAAAAGTCCTTCTATGGATATCTGCTTTTATCTTTCTGAGGAAAATTCTGAGAAATGGAATAACTAGATCATATGGTGGGTATATATTTAACATTATTTGCCATCTGTATATCTTCTTTTCTGAAATATCTGTTAAAATCTTATGTCCATTAATTTTTTATTCAGTTATGACTGTTTTTTATATATTCTAGATGTCTTTCATTAGACATATGCTTTGAATTTTTTTTCTCATAGTATGTGGACTCTCTCTTCATTCTTTCAAAAATATACTTCAAAAATCAAAAGCTTTAATTTTGATGAAGTCCAATTTATCCAATTTTTTCTTTTATGAATTGTTTTCAAGAAATTCCAAACTAACATAAGGCCATGAAAATTTTCTTTGGGGGTTTTTTATAATTTTAGGTTTTATATTTATTTTTTAAATTTTTAAAAGATATTATTTATTTATTTATTTGAGAGAGACAGCACAAGTGGGGGAAAGGGACAGGGGAGAAGCTGGTTCTCTGCTGAGCAGAGAGCTCCATGCGGGGCTCGATCCCAGGACCCTGAGATCATGACCTGAGCTGAAGGCAGAGACTTTAACCCACTGAGCCAGCTATGTGCCCTTATCATCTGACTCTTGGTTACAGCTTGGGTGAGGGTCCTCAAGGTCCTGAAACAACCCTACATTTGGGCTCTGTGCTCAGTGCAGTCTGCTTGAGACTCTCTCTCCCTCTCCTTCTGCCTCTCCCCATCTCTTTATCCCAAATAAATAAATCTTTAAAAAAGATATGTGAGGTGTGTACACTGAAAACTATAAAACATTTGTGAGAGATATTTAAGATTTTAATAAATATATCTTGATACATTCTGTTCATAGCTCAAAAGACTCAATATTGTCAATTCTACCCAATTTAATCTATAGATTCAGTGCAATCTCAAACTCCCAAGGTTGTGCATGTGTATGTGTCTATGGAAATTGACAAGCTGATTAAAATATTCATAACCTAGAATAGCCAAAGTAACTCTGAAAAGAAAAAAAGCACAAATGGAGGGCTAATGTTACTTGATTTCAAGAATTATTACAGATCTAAAGTAATCAAAAGAGTGTGGTGTTGATGTAAATATAGACAAATAGATCTGTGGAACAGAATAGAGAATCTATGCAGCTTCATAGCATGCCCTGCCTACTTGTGATCTCTGTCTGTCAAATAAATAAATAAAATCTTTAAACAACAACAACAACAAAAAGGGTCAGATGCTAACAAACTGTGCTGCCCAGACACCCATTACATATCTCTTGTCAGATAAGTATTCCATTTTTTGGATATTATTATAAATGGTATGGTCTTTAAAATTTTAATTCCTTAGTGTTAGTTGCTAGTTTATAGAACTACAATTGAGTTTTGTATTTGTTTTGTTTCTTGCAACAGAGCTTTACTCATTCTACTAGTGTTTTTGTATATCCTGTTGGAGCTTCTATCCAGATGATCATGTCATCTGAGACTAAATACAGTTTTACTTCTTTTTTCAGTTTGGATGCCTATTGTTTTTCCTGTCTTACTGCATTTTGGCTAGTGAAATGATGAATATAAGAGAAGACATACTTGTTCTGTTCCTTATCTTCAGGGGAAGCTTTAGTTTTTACCATCAAGTACAATGTTAACTATAAGTATTTTATAGATGTACTTGACTAAGGTTGAGGAAGTTCCTTTCTATTCATAGTCTGCTGAGTTTTTATCATGAACAAAAGCAGAATTTTGCCAAATGTTTTTTTGTATCTGTGGAGATGACCATATTATTTTCCTTTTTCACGTTGCCAAAGTTGTGAGTTATGTTGATTAATTTTCAAACATTAGGCCAACCTTTGCAGACCTGGATAAGCCCTATGTGATCATGATGGATTATCCTTTTTACATACTGTTGTGTTTTATTGACAAAATTTTGTTTACAATGTTGGCCTCCATATTCATGAAGTATATTGATTTACAGTTTTCTAGCACAGTCTTTGCCTGGTTTAGGTACCTGAGTAATACGGCTCTCCTATTCTCCATACTTTAATTTTGTGAAAGAGTTTTGTAAAACAGGTATTATTTCTTTCTTGAATGTCTGATGGAATTTACCAGTAAGATAATCTGGGCCTGCAGGGGTATTTCTGTGAGAAGATTTTCAAGTACAAATTCAATTTCTTTAATCCATATGGATCTAATTAGGCTCTTTCTTCTTATTTTTCATGCTTATATATATAAGCTTATTTTTTTAAGTTTTTATTTAACCCCCAGTTAACATACAGTGCTATGTTTCAGGTGTATACTGTAGCGATTCAACACTTCCATATATCACCCAGTGCTCATCATAGTGCACTCCTTAATCCCCATCACCAGTTTAACCCATCTTCCACCCACATCCCTTTTGGCAACCATTAATTTATTCCCTATAGTTAACTATAACTTTTTATATATTGTTATATATATAAAAGTTTATAACTATAAACTTTTAACTGTTTATTGCTTTACCTCTCTCTCTTTTTGTCCCTTTGCTCATTTGTTTTGATTCTTAAATTCCATATACAAGTGAAATCATATGGTATTTATCTTTCTCTGACTTATTTTGCTTAGTATAATACTCTCTAGCTCCACCTATGTCATTGAAAATGGCAAGATTTCATACTATTTTTATGGCTGAGTAATATTCCATTGTGCATATATACCACATCTTCCTTATTCATTCATCAGCTAATAGACACTTGGGCTGGCTATTGTAGATAATGCTGCTTTAAACATTTGGGTTTGTGTATCCTTCTGAGTTAGAATTTTTTGTATTCCTTGGTTAAATACCTAATAGTGCAATTGCTGGATTATAGGGTAGTTCTATTTTTAATTTTTTGAGGAATCTTCGTACTGTTTTCCAGAGTGGCTACACCAGTTTGCATTCCCACCAAAAGTGCAAGACGGTTCCCTTTTCTCCACATCCTCACCAACCCCTGTGCAATCTGCACATTTAATGCAATCCCTATCAAAATACCAAAGCATTTTTCACAGACCTTGAACAAACAAAATTTATATGGAACCACAAAAGACTCCAAATAGCCAGAGCAATCTTGAAGAGGAAAAGAAAACCTGGAGGCATCACAATTCTGGGCTTCAAACTATATTACAAAGTTGTAGTAATTGGGGTGCCTTGGTGACTCAGTTGATTGAGTGTCTGACTCTTGGTTTTGGCTCAGGTCATGATCTCAGTGTGGTGGAATTGAGCCCTGCATCAGGCTCTGCACTCAGTTCAGAGTCTGCTTGAGATTGTTTCCCTCTGACCCTCAACCCACTTGCTTTCTCTCTCTCAAATAAATAAAATCTTTTTTTCAAAAAGCTGTGGTAATCAAAACAGTATGATACTGATACAAAAATAGACACATATATCAATAGAACAAAATAGAACACCCAGAAATGAACCAACAATTATATGGCCAATTAATCTTTAACAAAGCAGGAAAAAATATCCAATGGGAAAAAGTCCCTTCAACAAATGGTGTGGAGAAAACTGGATCATTGTCTTACAACATACATAAAAATAAATTCAAAATAGATTAAAGATCTAAATGTGAGACTTGAAACCACAAAAATCCTAGAAGAAAACCCAGGCAGTAACTTCTTTGACATCAGCTGTAGGAACTTCTTTCTAGATATGTCTCCTGAGACAAGGGAAACAAAAGCAAACTGGGACCACATCAATATAAAAAGCTTCTGCACAGCAAAGGAAACAACAAAAGTAAAAGGCAACCTATAGAATGGGAGAAGATATTTGCAAATGACATATCTGATAAAGGATTAGTATCCATGTAAAGAACCTAAACAACTCAACACCCAAAAAGCAAAATAACCCAATT